GAGACCAATCTTTTTTACTGTAAATTGTTAAGAAGATGACTTTTTTGAAATTGTTGATGTATGTCTAAATCAAAATTCTAACGTGTGGTTTCTCAGTTATTTAACTGTATGCAACTATTAACTACTAAAGATTGTAGGTGATTCTTAAAAATGAGTTTACTAAAATATCAAATAAATTATGTGTATGTAATATTGGATCTTGATATTATTATACTTAGACAATCTTTAGAAATATAAAATTTTGATTAACTAATATTAATTTCTCTAATAATTCTCAAACCTTCAAAGCCCGAGTATACTTCAAATCCATTGTCATGGACAGAATATTACAATTACATTATCACCATTAAACCTTATAGTCAAAAATCAAAGTCATCGAAAAAACTACTCGTTCGAATTTTAAATTTCGATTGATATGTTTTATGTTATTAACATTTAAATCATCTGTTAACAAATTTAAAGAGAGAAAATGTAATACTTATTTGAAGTTGATACCACCAACCACAAACGACACTCTATAAATGGCACATATTATTTTTTTTTAAATAAGTGCTTAAAAATATTATGTTCCTTGAGTATACTTGAAAATTTCAAAAGTTCAAAATTAAATAAATATATGACAAAAACAAATCGAAATAATAAAAATGGGGGTGAGTACTCTTGGTAAATCTATACGGTTATCATAATTTACGGTGTGTACCTATAATAAACACTGACAAGTAACACTTTTCGTTTTTTTTGAAATTATTGTTACTTATTAAATTCTTGCAAGGATGTGCCACATGTGGCTATACATTTTAGTTGTTTTCATATATTGTTATATTGAATAGCTATATTGTAACAAATATATTATTATAATACCCATAGTGTATATGACTATAAAAACGCAAATATTTTCGCTTTTTCACGTGACCGACACGGCAACACACAAAAGCTAATATACCTACCTATTTATGCATGTATTAGCATTTTAAAGCCATCAGAAAACGAACGACGAATATTAATATTATGGTTTTTCTTGCTTAAAATCTTAAAAGATTCGAATGGACTCAATTGTTAAAACAAATCTTAATATATACAGTTTAATATTTATCGGTACGTTTAAAAAACAAAAAAAAACACACCATAATATTATCGTTTACAATAATGGACGTTTAAGAATTGTTTAAATAAAAATATTAAATTTTTAATTCGAAAAACAGATGTGTTGCTGATTGGTACAATTATTAGTTTGAATATTTTAATTACATTTTCAAAACTTATTTATTTACATTTCGAAAAAGCGATTACAAAGTACAAATATTAATATAATACTTTCTGTTATTAAAAATTAATGAACCATTACTTTAATAAAAATTATTATTTTTTAAATTTAGTTTCATATAACTCGAAGTAAAATTCAAAATGGTAAAATGTTATTTTAACTGTCTTTCAAGTTTAAAAATATATTTTAATTGGAGCTTTTAAAATAAAGATATAGTAATAATAATTTACTATTAGGATATCATATATCCTATCACAAACACTTTCCAATGCAAATTATATTTTCACGTTTTAATAAGATTAAATGTTGTGATGAGGAAAAATTAATAATGGATGATCCACAATCTCAACTATATAATTATTAAAAGCGATTAAGACAAGCAGGCTCGTGATACGCTTCAAATAAATTAAGCTCTTCCGTAAAATATATAATTATCTAAAAACGATAAATGCGTGTCTTCATTAATGTGTACATTACTTAAAATATATATTTTTATAAAAAAAAATGCTTTTGTTGGTTTCATTCAACCCACAAACTTAAGAAAAAATATTTATCAGTTTATCACTGATTTTATACTATGCGGTTCCATGAATATATGAACTTTATTTAGCATTTATTTTTTTCTTTCTGATTTTAGAACAACTAACAACTAACAATAAATGCATCATATAACGTGCGAAAAAACGATTCTAACTTCTGAGCATGCCTGGTCAAGAGGTTGGTAAAACGACGTTTTTCACATTTTTAGTGATTTTTGTCAAAAGTACAGGGAAGTTTTCCACTATCGAATACAATCTGTGTTAAACTTCCAATCTATAGAGGTGCCGCATAAAACTTTTTAGGCTTTTTTTACTGCCCGAAAAAATGTGTTAACCGAAAAAAAACCACACGTCATTGTAAAACCAATAGCTCCCTTGCCCCACACTGAATCTAGAAAGAAACGTTTGAAATCCCTTAAGAATATCAATGTTTGTATTTCTGAACAAAATCATTATAAAATGTGTAACCATAGTACAATTTTTACTATTTAAAAATATGCTTAGATTCATAAATATTTTTAATGTATAGAAAAATAAACATGATTTTTCTTGAATTTGAATACTTAAAAGTTAAAATCCCATCGTTAATGGTTCAATTCAAGGAGTAAATAAATTATATGCATAGTAATAGTAATATATAACTTAACTATTTACAAAAATTCAAATTCGATTTGATGAGATATTCTATTCAATATATTTATCTATTTAAAAAAGAATAAAATGTGCAAAGAAAAAAACAACATATAATTTTAAATCCGCTTAAGAATGCAATATGTTTTAAAATACTCATATAATACAATGTTTTACGTATATGATAATATCAAAATTTACAACTTTTATCCACATAATATATTTTTGATAAAAAAAACTATTAAATTCATTTTTAATGCATTCGACGATTAGAATTGTTTTTAATAATATATAAATAATGTACAAATTTCCTCTTTTAAGTATAAGGAAACATAAACAAATTATTCTATTTTTAGACAAATAAAAACATTTAATATTAACTACCTATTGTATTTTGTTTAGTTTTAACTAAGGTCCATGATTCGAGTTTCATTAATTTTGATCAGAAGTATTTTACTTTAATGCGAATTACGACTTTATTTTATGAGCCCTAATTGAAAACATTAAAGTAATCCCAAATAGATTGGTGTGAAGATGTTGGTTGACATAGATCTGGAAAATTTGATTTATTTCAAAGTAAGATTAGATGTCGGATGATTTGTTAAACGATCCACGGTTGCGGGTTTTTTTTATATAGAACCAACCCAAATTTACATAATATTATTATGCATAAGGCCAATTGGGATAATTATGTTAATTCAATTAGATGCTATGGAACGAAACGCGTTCACTTAATAATTAATGTAAGGGAACTCGGGGCATGATGGGCAATCAAATATATGGCTCAACGTAAAATATTAATTTACTTATACCAATATAAGTAAATAAATATTTTATGATGAGATAACGCACGATTTTATCAAGAGATGATTGTATTATTACTTCTTAGAAATGAACTCACTAACCGTGACAAGATTTTTTGTTTTAAAATCACCAACATATCATTTTATATTTCAGTTTTTACTTGTAAAAGTGTGCCTATGTAGATACTTCTTAACTCCTATATACCTCCTAACTTATAATAGTATAAGACGTGTAGTGAATACTGAATTCGTTTGGAAAATATAGGTTTTTCAATTTTCAATTTTTTTTTTATAACGCAACAATATTTAAAATATGAAAAAAGTGTGAGACTATACATTTTTATAATTGCGAATTATAAGACAAGTAATAAGTGCGTATTCCCTGCAATTATTAATATAATATCTATATTAACTATTGTGTTTTTAAATTTTAATCCTGTTTAATTGACCACTGCTAATGGATTTCTAAGATGAAATATTAAGGCCTTATCTCTATTATATAGCACAAAGTAATTATAACTATATATAGTATTATGATAACTGATGTCTGATATCGAAATAATGAACTTCACAAACTTGACTACAAATTTTACATCGTTTTAGTGAACATAACTTGAGGGGTAGAAGGGATGCCTATGACGTGTATAAGAACGTTAACTTTTACGTAGACTTAACGTTATCAAAATGCTATAGCTAGAAAAATAAATAAAGAAATGATTTACTGCCGGGCACTAGCCTTGCAGTAGCTCTTGTAAAATCCACAGCGTGACATTAAGTGAGATTTGATTTTTCTGTTTTAGATTGTTAAAATATACACCAAAAAAGAAAACAGTATGTGAAATTCTTCGAGCAGTGTAAGAAAAACAAAAGACGGGACTAGGTACTTAAGACGACAGTGAAGTAAGTCTTACAAAAGAAAACCATAACTCAAAGTTTTTCTGATATGCACTTGAATTAGTATGCATACAGGTAGTTATTATTAGTAAATACCGATACAAATAAACCCTAAATACAATATTGTGTATTTGTTTATTTATTTTTTTTTTTTTGATTTACACTGCAAAACCAGGCGATCATACAATATTTTTTACGTAGGCGAGGATTGGGAAAACCGAAACGTCGAAATATGTCATGATCTACAACACCTTGCCTATGTTATAATAAAATATATTCATGACCAGAAATATGAGACGACCCACACGTTGCAAATGGTTGATGTGAATATAGGATGTATATGCGCAGTACCGTAATCGAGTGGGCCATTTCCCTATATATAAAAAAAAAGAAAAGTGTATTCCATTTTCCTCAAGAGTTTTTTTTTTACAAGATTTGGGACAATTTTTCTCGAACTATTTTAACTCTGTATAACATATTGTTATTATGTATATCATCAATTCTTTAAAATGTGTTAAAATTCTTTATTTTTTATATTCAATTATATGGCACAACATATTTAATTTGTATTCTTATATTATTTGTATAATATATTTTGATTTAAAGTTATCACATGGTTCTAAGTTATTTTTAAAAAGTGTCCAGATTTTTTTTTGAAGGTATTTCATTTTTAGAGGAAAAATTGCTGAGGCCCCGTTTTCGATTACGAGTGCAAGATTTTTCAAACGGAAGTCGCGTCTAGTATGACATGTATAATTGTGTGCGTGATGTGTGTCAGATATTCAGAAAACTTGGCGACTGTCTGCGCGGATGCGTACAAAATTATACTTTAAATATTATATATATATATATACAATAGTAAGCGCTTACTTTGCCGTCGCTATTGACTAATCCGGAAGTCCAATGACCGGAAGCCGTCGTCGGTCCGTACCGGTTTCCTGTGTCGGGCGTCAGCGACCGGCCGCCTCCGCCGCGGCCTGACCACCGCGGCCGATCGTCTCTTACGCCGGCGGCCCGTGGACGGCGGTGGCGGGGGCGGCGGGGGTCCGAAATTGATGACCGTGCCGGGCGGCGCGTGCTTGACCGGCAGCAATTGAACGTAGTCGCCACGGGCCGAGTGAATGACGCCGGACGCTGCCACAGCGAACGTCTGTAACCGGGCAGAGGCGGGCACGGTTACCAGTCTGGCGGCCAACAGTATGGGCACCAGCACGGCGGCCGCCACCACGCCGCACCCGAGCACCAGCATGGCTATGATGACGACGACGGTGCGCCGGGTACCGGCACCACCACCTCCGCCACTGTCGTCGGCCGTCGCCGAAGAGGAAGACGAGGACGACGATCTGCGGTGATGGTGGTGGTGATGGTGGTGCGGCTGAGGCTGCGGCGCCGAGTCCCTGTTGTGCTGGTGATACCGGTACTGGTAGTGGTGTTGTTGTTGTTTTTGCTGCTGCTGATGTTGTTGTTGTGGTTGGTGGTGATGGTGGTTGTGGTGGTGCAAATGGTTACGGTGGCACGCGGTCGCCGTGCCACAGGGCGGCGGTTCTTCCTCGCCGCTCGACACGGACGGCGAACGGTCGTCTGTCTGCGGCAATATCGTGTACTCGAGCTCAGCCACCAGGTCGCCGGCGCCATGTTGGGCGCGCACCGTCTTGAACATGCGGCGGCGGATCGCACAGACCCACGCCGACACCTATACGAATGGTGCAAAAAACTGGTGATTTTATTTTTTTATTCAAACGGGCTATTGCCCGACAATAATTTGAAATTTAATCAGTGGTGTTTTGGAGTGTATACGAGGTAGACTATATTAATTACGATTTGGTATAGGTACTCGGTAAAAACAGTAAAAGTATACGGTACACATCATATACAAGTATACGATCGTGTACCTTAAAATTTTCATATTGGTCATATTAAGTGCGTATAACAAATACTTATATAATATTTATAGTATATATATATATTAAATGAGGTTAACGTGGAATACCACCTGCGAGCAGTGGCGTAGACAGAACCCCGGTGGCCCTAGGGCCATAAGAGACAGAGAGGAGAATCTTAAAGAAGCCCTCTTCAACACAGAAATTAAATTATGATAAAAATATTGATTGTTAAAGGTCCAAACAGACGACCGGATTTTTACCGTCTTCCGTCCGGTTCACTTTATAAACCAACGTAGTTGGATTGTGGTGAACAGACGACGGCCGTTGTTCGCCGGCCGGTCAGTTCGCGGTTGGCCCAGTTCGCAGTCTCGGCGAAATCCGTTCGTCCGTTTCGACTCTAAATATAGTGCTTCTAGGAACTGACAATATAATGATAAGGAAAAAGATGACGGCGTACGACGTACAAATCACAATATTTTTTTATCAATAGTTTATTGAGCTGAGAAGCATATAATATGATAGTTGCCGCCTTAGAAATAATATTCTTAATAGTTGAAATCACAGAGTACAAGTTATCATAATTTATTTGTCAAGCTCATAGGCATATAAAACAACTATAGATAGCAGCGGACTGCATATTACATTCTCACAGGAACGTTGAAGTCGTGAGGTCATATTATGTCAACAGGACAATGTTTACAAAATAACTCAATAGATAAGAATCTTATTATAAGATACTTACACATATTTATATGGTACATATTATATATTACGAATTTATATTTTATGTATATTATCAATCATTCAATTTTACCCTTTCGGCATATGACTGCTGACTTCAATATCATCCTACGGTCGGCTATCTAGTTATTTTACGTGTTTACATGCACATTACTGTAATTAAAGCAATACAAATATTATAAATACAATTTTAAATTTTCTCTATTAGCTTTCGGCCGAACAACTACTGAGCAATCGCATTTTTTCTCGTAAATTGATTTTTCAGTGAAACCGAATTCATGGAAAAATATCTTTGGATTAGTATAGGTACCAACTATCATTCTTAAACCGTGATACCAACCAAACAAATCCGATTATTATTTTCCGATCTATCATAGTAGTTGTAGCATTGCTAAAATATAACTTATAGTTATAACTTATTTTAAGTTATTTAGCCACGAGTAGTATTATAGTACATTCCGTAAATTATTTTCTGTGGGGATAAACGGGATTACGACATTTGAACTGGTCATCCTGTAAAATTCTGAAAAGTGGGTTGCCCGGTTGATCCATAATTACTCATTGGACACTGAGAACTGTTTTATAGAAAAAACTAACACACAAGTCGTAATAACTATATAATTACTAATGAATATTTGACATTAATTGTTGTTATTTTTAACGCTGAATATTGATATATTATTATCTTATAAAATATACAAATAAAACGACTATTTTAAATAAGTACAATTAATGGATTTAGGATATAAAATAGTTAAGTTATTAAGTTTGAGTTTCAGCAAAATTGATAGATTGATAATTGTTTTTTTGTACGGGATAAAAAAAACTGTACATTCGTTGGAACACTTGGAACGATTAAACTATAAACAAATATAGTACGATTCACCAAACACATTGACCTGTGCATACTATGGTAAGTTTGATTAAGTATTAATTGTATAAAAAAATGTAATAATTTTTAAAAAAAATAACTTTTTAGCTTGGTTTAATAATTCTTTCGGAAACCCTACGTCGCAAAAATTAAAAAAACAAGTAAAATATGTATGTAAATGGCCATCATCAAACATCGGCAGCACCCTAGTTCGAAAAAAAATGTTCGAATTTTTTTTCTCTACGTCTAAATCGCCATTTACACTAACGATCGAACCCAGTTTGGAAGGTCAGATGTCAGAAGACGCATCTTCCCCTTTAAAATGTAAGTAACATATACGACACTTTAACATATCATTTCATTTCCGTCCAATGTAAAATTTAAATTTTCAAAATGTTTTTCGAAATGTTTTTTACAAAAATGAAATTTATCGATGCCGTAAAATGTTTACCTCTAATAATAGACCACAAACCTACAATGGTCAGCTATACCGGAGCTTCAGCAGTAATAATAATAATAATAATAATAATAGTAATAAAAGCTGTACATTCTACACAAGTATAGGTATACGTATAACTCTATTTTCATTTTTAACAACGGAAAATGTTATTTAAAAACAACCACATAAGTTTGGTCGGGTAAAAGTGCGATCTCAATTGAATTTATATGTTTACATGGAACCCACTACCCACGCAACAGTTCGGTTTCAATGGGTACACACTACAAGTCATATGTTTGAGTACACTTTTCTTCGCCTCCTCCGCGGAAATATTTACAGTCGAGATATTTTCGTTATTATTTCTGTTCGCATTATTATTATTATTATTATTATATGATCGTTCAGTAGGTATAATTTTTTCCTCAGTACATATTTAAGTTTTCGCAAATGCTGCTAAACATTTGGCTTTTCTTCGTCCGTTATTTATAAATGGAATATTACAAAAAAATTTCCTGGGGCGCACATCGAGGATCCCCGAGGACCCACCCAGACTTAGGTATGCACTCGTAATACCATGGTACGTGTGGGTATTATATGATACTATATTACTATAATAATAATAATAATAATAATACCATGGGTGGTGGGTTTGTGTGAGCCAAAAAATTCAAGACGAATATCTTTTGGTATTTCAAAAATAGGTAAAAACATCGATAATTTTAATGTACCCATTAGCACTACGTCACGAAACAACATGTCCACACGCAAAATGTTGTGTAAATGTCGTTCGGAAAAAAATAAATTCAAGTTCCTATAATATTATATTATATACTAAAACTACTTAATAACTATTATTATTATAATTTGTTTTAGGCATAATATTAGTACGACCATAACACTGGCATGTATATATAGGCGTTACGACTTGTGACGTAGGTGTCGCATAATTTAGTATTAGCAAGTGGTTGATAATATTATTATATACACTTGGTAAAATTAGACTAAATCACTATCGAGTTTTAGGACAACATAATTTTCCATCGCAGTCCGTGACATGTGTACTAGTAACAATAATTATTATGATATAGTCGTCGCTTATTATTAAACTCGCTGTTAATTAACTTATAATATACACACGCATTTGCATCCATAATGAACTCCAACAGGCAGATCGCGATTTATAAACATGATGTATACTATCACATAGGAAACAATATTTGTCGATTTGTCTATATGTGCTACAGTGGTTATAATGGTGCAGGGGTCGGTGAGTATTTTGTAGGGCGTATATCCACATTTTTTAGTCCATTTTCCCTATTTTCTCGCATATTTTGCAATATTTATTTTTTCCTCGACTCATGGCGTCGAAAAGTATAAACGTTTTGAAAGTATTTTTCTTAAATAATTTAAAGTCTTACTAAACAATTCTTTAAAAAAAAAACATGTCTATTATCAATTTCTGGGTTTTTTCTTTTATAAATGACAGTATAGGTACATAATGAACTCAAATGCTGTGGTTCCAAAGTCTAGTCGGCGACTATTCTGTAATATTATTTTAAGGTGGACGGCTGTACGATATTATTATGAATGTTATTAATTGTTATGAATACTTGTTTAATAAAACACTATGACAAAACCTAACACACTTCAGATATAATATAATATTCAAGGAAAATATAATATGAAAACAATTATTTTTAAAAGATCTCAACACAATATTAAACTTACGCCGTACAATATAAGATGTTACTATGTGTGGAATGTGCCCCACAAACAATGTACCTAATTGTTTACAACACAAATTCATCGTGACACATATAATTTAACAATATATTAATCGTCGTGATAGCGACGACAATGCGCTACTTTCAATTTACACTAATCGCGAGAATTCATTATACATCTATGTACCCACAGTCCACACGTTATATTATAATGGGTATATATATATATAGCGAATACACGATCGGGCAAAAGAACGTAAAGCGTGTGTAATGATATAATAGGCGTGTACTCGTCCTGGTGAAGTGAGAAATGAAGAGGGGGCACGGTGTCCAAATGAACTTTAACCCGACTATATAATATACAGTACCTATACATATATAGGTAGTCGTTTCCAGTGTGGTTTTGTTCGGTTAAAAAAATAATGAAGTTTAAATTTATGGTAACTGGGTTACAAGCGGTTATACACGTGTACGTAGATAATATGTATATTGTATACATATATACATAGGTATATGTGTGTATGTGTATAATATAATATATACATATTACATATTATATAGAGAACACGGAGCGGCCGAGTTAAATTTATGGTTATTCGGCGTTTTGGCGTACACCGAACGCGTGAGTGTGGTATGTACCTATATATACCATAGTCCATAAACTATATACCTACAGCTCCGTGAACTGTTACAATATGATTGCGAACAATGTTATTTTTTTTTCAGTTTTTGTCTCTATCCTCGAGCTTATAACTTTTATTAATATATTATACAAAGTACTATATTACTTTATATACGTATAGTTACGACGTACGCCGCCGCCAGAGGGTCGTTTTATAAACCACTGCTGTGTTGGGCGTGAGAACTCTGGAGCACCTTACCTACCTAAAGGTACCCAAATAGAATTCCAACGGATTTCGGCTGGATACTTACTACTTAGGAACCGACAAACGCACCCACGGTCTCTATAAATATGCGTATACTATGGCAATCGTACTCCGACTTTTGGCTTTCGTTATTCATTTGTCCACCTAA